ACGTAATGTTGGATTTTGTTATAGAAATGGAATTGGAGTTGAAAAGGATGTGCGTAAAGCATTCAATTATTATTACAAATCTGCAAAGATGGGAAACGCTAGAGGAACATGTATTGTTGGACATTGTTATCAAAATGGAACTGGAGTTGAAAGGAATGAAATGAAAGCATTTGAATATTTTAAAAAATCTGCTGAGATGCTTGATGCTGATGGGATAAATAGTATTGGAAATTGTTATCTCAATGGAATTGGTGTTGAAATAGATGAAATAAAAGCATTTAAATATTTTAAAGAATCTGCAGAAATGGGAAATATTATTGGAACATATAATACTGGATATTGTTATCAAAATGGAATTGGTGTTAAAAGTGATGAAATAGAAGCACTTGAATATTTTAAAAAATCTGCTGACATGAACAATGCTGAAGGAACATTTCAAGTTGGAAAATGTTATCAAAATGAAATTGGGGTTAAAAGGAATGAAGGGAAAGCATTTGAATATTTTAAAAAATCTGCTGATATGAATAATGTTGAAGGAATATTTCAAGTTGGAAAATGTTATCAAAATGGAATTGGAGTTAAAAGGGATGTAGAGAAAGCGTTTGAGTATTTTAAAAAATCCGCTGAGCTGTTTGACGCTGATGGAATAAATAGTATTGGAGATTTTTATCTCAATGGAATTGGTGTCGAAATAGATGAAGAGAAAGCATTTGAATATTTTAAAAAATCTGCAGAGATGGAGCATATTCAAGGAACTTTTAATGCTGGATACTGTTATCAAAATGGAATTGGAGTTGAAAAGGATGAAACGAAAGCATTTGAATATTTTAAAAAATCTGCAGAGATGGGAAATATTATTGGAATATATAATGTTGGATATTGTTACCAAAAAGGAATTGGTGTTGAAATAGATGAAAAGAAAACATTTGAATATTTTAAAAAATCTGCAGAGATGGGGCATGCTCAAGGAACATGTAATGTTGGAAATTGTTATCAAAATGGAATTGGAACCGAAAAACACGAATACAAGGCATTTATTTATTATCAAAAATCTGCAGAGATGGAGCATGCTCAAGGAATATATAATGCTGGAAATTGCTATCGTCATGGAATTGGTGTTGATAAAGATGAAAAGAAAGCATTTGAATATTTCAAAAAATCTGCTGAGATGGAGCATGCTCAAGGAACATATAATGTTGGATATTGTTATCAAAATGGAATTGGAATCGAAAAGGATGAAAAGCAAGCATTTGAATATTTTAGGAAATCTGCAGAGATGCTTGACGTTGATGGAATAAATAGTCTTGGATATTGTTACCAGAAAGGAATTGGTGTTAAAAAAGATGAAAAGAAAGCATTTGAATATTTTGATATATCTGCAAAGATGGGGGGTCTTATTGGAACATATAATGTTGGATATTGTTATCAAAATGGATATGGAGTTGAAGAGGATGGAAAGAAAGCAAATGAATATTTTAAAAGATCTGCAAATATAGGAGACGCTAATGAATTATTTAACGCTGGATACTGTTGTCTATTTGGAATCGGAGTTGAAAAGGATGAACGTAATGCATTCAATTGTTATAATAAGTCTGCAGAAATGGGGCATGCTGGAGGAATATATAAGGTTGGATATTGTTATCGAAATGGATATGGAGTTGAAAAAGATGGAAAGAAAGCATTTGAATATTTTCAACGATCTGCACAGATGAATTACATTCATGGAATGTTGGATGTTGGACATTGTTATCAAGATGGATTTGGAGTCGAAAAGGACGGAAAGTTGGCATTTGAATATTTTAAAAGGTCTGCGGAAATGGGTCATGTTAGAGGAACTTTACAAGTTGGTGACTGTTATCGAAATGGAATCGGTGTGCCAAGAGACATACAGCGAGCCAATCATTGGTATCGAAAAGAAAGAGGTGTAAATAGAATAAATAAATTATCATACGAAAACATTGATGATAATTTGAAGAAAATATTAGATAATGAAAAGTATAAATTATTATGGATTCCTTATAACGAATTTACAAATATAAAAGAGATAGGAAGTGGTGGATTTGCAACCGTTTATTATGCGCATTGGCCTGATAAAAATAGAGATTTTGGAATAGATGTTGCGCTTAAATTGATTCAAAAGTCAGATGTGTGTATTCAAGAATTTGTTGATGAGGTAATACTAATGTTAATCAGAATTTGTTAATTATGTAATGTTAATTCTATATTTTTATTGATTTTACCTAATTTAAATGGCAGTTGAAAAAATATTGTGAGATTGGATATGAAAATCCATCATTCATAAAGTGCTATGGAATATCAAGACATGATGCCTCTAAAGAGTACATTATCGTTTTGAAATATGCGAGTAAAGGTTCATTGCGTCAAAATCTTAGTAAGATAGCACAAATGAAATGGAAAGATAAATTGAATCTGCTGTATTGTATTGCTTCAGACCTTGAAGCAATCCATTCACAAGAACTGATTCATCGAGATTTGCATTCCGGAAATATTTTGCAAGACCAATTAGATAGTGCATATATTACGGATCTGGGACTTACAGTGTCGTCTAATAAAAATCAAGATGAAGAAATTAGTGGTGTTATGCCATATATAGCACCTGAAGTTTTAATGTGTAAACCGTTCACGCAAGCAGCTGATATTTACAGCCTTGGAGTTATCATGTTCGAGTTATTAACTGGAAAAAGAGCGCTTGATGGTGAATCATTTAACATTTCTCTTACAATTAAAATTTGTCGGGGAGTACGACCAGAATTTAATGAAAGAATACCTGATTGTTATGTTAAATTGGCTAAGAGGTGCATGGATCGGAACCAAAATGAACGGCCCACAACAACTGTTATTGTCAACAAAATTGGTCATTGGCTTGACGAGATGAACCAGAAAGATGATAACGAAATCAAAAAGCAATTTTTAGAAGCTGATAAAGTTAAACTTAATATCGAATTACCAAAACATTCAAATGACATGTACACCAGCAAATTCATCAGCACACGAAAGATAAAACCGGATCAACTTGATTCTTTTAACATAATGTAAAATAACTTCCAACAGGAGGGAGGATAGTGTCGAAAAACACTAATTAATGAACTAGAGTTGGTATCCATTCGAAACTAGTTTCGGATTATCAAAATCGAATCTTCAAAATCAGAAGCCATAATCTGTAACTTCTAAAATATTTTTATGGAGGATTCTACTTGTAACCTATGGTACGGTATCCAGTATAGAAAATATCAACGTAATTAATATCAAAATTTTGTTTAAGAAAATCAACTTAATTTTTTTAAATAAAAATATTTAGTACTTAATTTTACATATAAATACATCCTTTTAACGCCAAACTGCTAGGGATGGTTCGGTCCTGAGAAGACCAGTTACATTAGGGTGTTCAATAAACTAATTGATCAAAACTTAGTTAGGGTCATATATGATGATCATTTTTTTTAAGGGTTATTTTACATATAAATTTGTACTAATTTAGGTACATTTTTCTACACAACCAACAAACAAAATTGTATATGTTTTTTTAAAAGACTGTAGTTCTAGACTAGCTCACAGAACCGGTTTTTTAATAACTTTTGGTAAAATTTTGGATTAATTTTTATTAATAATTAACATAGGTTATTAAAAAACCGGTTCTGTTACAGTATAGAGCTAGTCTAGAACCACAGTTTAAAAAAAAAATATGGTACAATTTTGTCTGTTAGTTATGTAGAAAAATGTACCTAAATTAGTACAAATTCATATATAAATTTATAGATTAAATTAACTATGTTTTGATTAATTAGTTTATTGAACACCCTACAGTTACATGGTCTTCGGTTCTCAGTCTTTTAACAAGTTCAGATCGGTTAATAATAAACTATTTATCAACTTAGTTTTCGTTAAAATGTTATCGATATAGCTAAAACTCTCTTACTTTGATAAAATGTCCGGATGTCCACCACGTGCTATACTAAATAAACAGTGATTGGGTAAAACCTTGCTACTAGACATTCTTTGATCAAAAATGTCCGGATGTCCTCCACGTAACACACAATAAATATTTGAAATTTTATATATATAGTATATAGTATATATATATAATTTTATATTATACCCTGGTCACTATATCAAGATCGCAGGGCATAAATCAGTTATACCCTGGGACTATGTGTATAAGCGGAAATTTCATCTCCGCTTATACCCAACTGCTCAGGATATAACTATTACTAATTTGCTTCAGATCCTGTTAACCTAGTCGATATACAGTATGTAAATCGATAAATGTCGAGTAGAACGATAGCAATGTCACGGGCTAAAAGGTAGATCTTCGAAATTAGGCGTAGTAAACCCGTGATTAAAGAAGCAATCAAGAAATACTGGTTTATCGGTTGAGGCTTATCTGCCGAATGAAACTAATAAACAGGTTTGTAATTTAACTTAAGGCTTATATAATTGATAATATATCTCGGTGATAAGCAAATATTGGCCGATAGAATTACCTTTAATGTTATATAAAGAACATAACTTAGTTAAGACACTTATGTGTGAGGAAGGGGTACATAATATCACTAACTCAATAATAATTCCTTATATTATAATTAAGCAAATCACCAACATCATGCCTCTGGTGAGTTGCCTTATTATATAAATTCTATATTTTTATAGTATAGATTATTGAATATATGATTCATCCTGTAACATTTGGTGGTGACTGTGAGATATAAACTTTCCAAACTTAGTTTATCAGTCACTGATGATCTCAACTCTAACTCTTTCAATGATGATTTTGACTCTTATTATCTTTATTACTTTTCTCTTTATGACTCTAATCTAATTGTCTTTATGGTCTTTATAATTATACTCCTGATCTTTACAAGCAATTTAAAAAAAAAGAAAAGAAAAGATTTTCATAGTTGAACAAGCAATAATTATGCCATTGATCAATTTATTTAAAAAAATTAATAAAATTAGCTTTTTACAAGAAAAGAATTGTACTATCAAAGTAAAAGATTCTCTGTCTGTAAGTTACATTCATTGTGCAAAAACTCTGGTAAAATGTTCTCTGCCTGTAAGTTATATTTGTTGTGCAAAAACTCTAGTAAAAGGTTCTCTGCCTGTAAGTCACATTCATTGTGCAAAAACTCTGATAAAAGGTGCTTTTCCTGTAAGTCGTTAATCTAGCCTGGTATCAGCAAGGCTAAAGGTACTAGCAAAAATTGAATCTTAATAGTATAGTAAATAAAAAAAAATGAAATAAAGAATTTAAAAACAAATGAAAGTAACTATGGTGATAATTGTTCTATTTTCTAAAAGTCAATTTTCTTAGAAACTATTGACCTGATATTATTTTTATTTTTATTTTTTTATAATTCGGCAGTCATGCCTTAGCTTTATTAGGCTTTGTATAATTCCTCTAGAATATGTAAAATTTTACAACTAGGCAT